CATGCAAAAATCGGTGATAAAGACGTGATATGCAGAATTTGGTGATGATGATGAGACACAGACACCCTAATTTTTCGCAGAGCTGACTACTTTTATTGTAAAGCCGTCCACACATTTGTGTTCTGGTCTTATTGTCCAAGGTTAGGAACAAGTGGAAAAGGCTATTTTATAGATAATATACAACTATGGCCACCCAAATACTACTCAAATAAGATGTTGCAATTCTGCTTCTGGGCTTAACGACGACATTGTATGCCTGCGCCATAGCAACAAAGATTGATAAAGTTCTTAGGAATTTGCCATATGATACTTTATAGGTGATCACAATTGGGCTAATTTATTTCTAAGAATCTTTATTATGTAACAGCCTACCTGACTCTTGATATCGACTAACTGACTTCCGTGTAGCCCAAATATGTTATCTTCAATTAAACCCTATATCACAATGCCTCATTAAGATTCAGTTATACTAGCGAAACGTATACAGACGTTGTAAAACAAAGCCTAAAGAACAATTTAACTTATCATGAATGTCCTAAAACTACAACCAAACGCTGAAGGACATGTAGAACTTTCGTTGACGATCCCCAAACTGCTGGGTATGTTCATTATGTATGTTATGGAATAAGTACTATGGCAATGCAGCCCCTTCAGGTCTTGGTTCAGCCGGAGACGAAACTAAAAAGTTAGGAATTTATAGAAAATAGTACTTCCTGCTCCGTTTTCACAACGCAACGATTTTCAAAAACTTTCCCAACTTCATATACAGTAATTTTGGTGTCTTACGTGAGATATATGTCAATGATATGTTTACATACGTGTGCCATACAATTTGAACTCATTAGAGGTCACAAAATGATATGCTGTTACCAAAACTGCTACCGTTATTACTGGTGCCATTACGAAATCACGCCACAGTCGTATTCTGAAAATTTGACCCGAATTACAAACAATAATACAGATTAAAATCACAATAAAAGACCTCAAGTACCGATAAGAAAAACGTATCTTTTAGATTCTTCATCACATTTAAAGAAAAAAGGTCACTGACGGATTTCATGCCAATATTGAAACAGTAGAATATCGTTTTTTGTCGAGTAGTTCGGGAGTTATGCTCGAACATACATTCGATGATTCATTTTTATACTTAAAAATATGACTTCAATCTTCAAATGGCTCAACTTTATATGACTTGCAGTTTTATACGCGACTTGTGTGTACCTGATTAAATCAAAAGAGGTTCTTGTTTCTTGAATATGTCTATGGTTAAGTATATTATGAGCTTAAACCATTCAGGGTAAAAGAACTCTTTAAAAAGTTTTTGCTCGGCATTGAAAGCAGGTTCGAGACCGGTTATGGTATACTTTAGAAGTCTTAATACACATTGTAAGTCCTAACGTGCCAACGTCCCAGGTTCAAACACAAAAGTATGCTAAAATAAATACATACTTAAGACACTTTTGTAATGTTTTAAAGCGATATTTTCCATGTGTTAGTCATGCTTACACGTTTTATTTTGTATCCTGTTTGAGGTTATTCTGCCAGGGTCGATACTTAAACGCTCGTCCTAGTTCCGTAAAGGCTAAATCGTAATTTAAATACCTATTTATACATTCAAATTAACAATTTTACCGCCTAATGAATTTTAATTTTAAACGTATTTGAAATAAAAAGGAAATATTCACATAAAAATCTGTTTTATATAACTTTCTTCATTATATCGGAATAATATTCCAAATAGGGCTGTCGAAAGTGACATCGTATTGCCGAAATTAAGTGATGCGACGTCACCAAATGGCCGGTTGACAAGGTTAGCAAGCAGACGTTGGCAACCTTGACTCCGCAGATGGTTTACAGGAAAAGAGGCCCTTTATGACCACATACAACTTTGTACTTTTATTTTACGAGCACTTTAAAATGCACTTGTAAGGTGTTCCAAGTACGTTGTAACTAACGAAGGATGTAACCATAATTTAACGTAAAGATAATTTTATTGCTTCCCTAGGCTAAGGCCTAGCGCAGTCAAACAATTACATTGTAAACTCGCTAACAGTCTTCCCAAAGAAATTAATTGCCTACTATCACGTCACGATAGTTCACTATTGAACAGACGTCGATGCGAGGCAGTGACGCGTGAAAATGTGACAAAAGGTTCTAAACGATAAAAGGTTGGGTGCCACTGCGGTGAGCGTGGGACTGTGAGATTCGGAAGCGCACATCACTAGTTCAGAGTAGTGGTGGACCAACGGTTGGTGATCCGCGACCACTCCGCCCGTGCGCGCGCGCAGTATCGAGCTTAGAAATTAATAATAAAGTTGGTTTTGGCGATAACCGTGCTTCGTGATCGTGATATTTTGTGAATATTCGTGTAAAAGAAAACTTCATTGGATTTTTTTTTTATGAAAATTGCCAATTGATAGTGCTTTGATAGATTTGTTTGATAAATATTTTAAAGGTAATTTTTTATTTGTATTTCTTCAATGAGAAATCATATATTATTTTTATTTGATTTTTACTATTAAAAAAGTATAAAATTAGTCATAAACTTTTATCCTATACTGGTCGAATAATGTGTTTTTTTGTTAAAATGCTGTCTAAACAATGCTGCGATCATTACTGTGGTTTCCGCCATTATAATAATTTTAAGATAAATGCCTTGTGGTGATTGTTCTGTAATACCCACTAAGTTTTCTTGACCCCAATGGTTTTTAACTTCATAATTGTGCTTTTCTATGACATATGTTATGTATGTATTTATTAAGTCTTACAATAGGTCCTGTAACTTATTAGATACAAAGGTTAATGTAGTTTAAATACAGACTTTATTTTCCAAAAAAGTTCTCATTTACCTAAATTAGAACTATAAAAATATGAAATTATAAATTAAAATAGTGTGTTATGGTATATTTACATTACACCGCTATTTTTATATTCGCAAGCATTACATAAAAAATATTATGGTCTTATATTTACAATAAAAAAGTGCCCTACCTTAGTAAACAAATCAATCATTATATGTCGTTATATAACAAGAAAATATCAATTGGTATTAATTACCGCTTCCTGTAAACCCTATAAATATCCCTTAGAAAGCTGTTAACTCAAGCTAATATTAAAATACAAGTTCCAAGTAAAACTTAATTTACGACCAGTTTTACCATAACATCCGGAGAAAATTATATAAAAATCGGAAATAACTCATTTTCCCTCTCTTTAGTAACATGTATGTAAATATGGGGTTTTATTACACATTAAAATTGCGATAACATCATCATTTCCTTGTTCATCCACTGCTGACATGAACCTCTTTAATAACAAGTTCCTGAGCCCTATCTTTAAATGTTCATATCCAGCTTCTGCTTTCCGGATAATATGAATATTTTAATTGTGTTCAGGACTGATCAAGTATGTTAGTTATAAAAATAATAAAATATAACAATTGGAAAACATGTGTCTATTCATTTTGACCATAGATAAAGTAAAGTAAAAAAATAACCATAGACGATTCTTCTGATTTCATATTTTTGCGGGAACAAATTGTATATTTGAAAATCCTTCTCTCTTTCTTTCTTCGCTACATGCTCCAAATCTAGGTAATATTGTATAACCTCTCAAAATATATCATTTTTCTTAACTACTAATGCATAAAATTGAGTTAGTCATCCTGTTATACATTGCAATACTTTTTACTGATTCAATTTATTATAATAAGGTCAATGTACTTACGACCTGAGCTAGGTAAAAAATGTACTAGTCAGCCGTTGCATCGTATTGCATTGAAGGCCCACTTTATTGGTCTTTAGACGTAATGCATTACGTTGTTCTATTGCATTTTTCTTAGAAAAAAGCAATATGGATGTACCTCCCATTCCAACACTCAATAACTTTCTATGGTATCCTTCTATTTTGATCCCTGATTCAGGTCATTCTTGTGTACTGTTTGTGTCTTATTCGTAAACAGTATGATTCAAAACCATAATAAATTATTGGTTTCTCCACGAACCAAATATTTAGATTTTAAGGTCCTCTTCTAGTTAGTCTTTAATCACGGTATCACCAATAATAGATCGTCATCCAGGCTTGATAAATTTAAAAGTTAGCATTATTAAGAAGCCATTTCACTAATAAATTTCAAACAAGACACTCTAATTTACTTAGGCTCCACATATAAATATTGCTAGATGTTTCATTTCCCTAATTCACAGTCGATCGCGCAACAACACAGGTTGTTAAAACATAAGGTAGAGAAACCAATTGAGTTAACAATTTAACAATCAGTTTACAACTACTCAATCGGTTTACTTGACCCGTATCCAACAGATGTTTAACCAAGGTTTACCTCGTTAACCTGAACAATTAACTGAGACAGTTAACTATATAGTTACAGTTTTATTTTCACAATAAAACTGTCAATTCATTTTGTTAATATAGGTTGAATGGAGCGTGTAATAGTGGTTGGATTACGTTGACTGGGGTACCGTTTCTTGTTAGAAAAAAAAAAGTGTTAAAATCGTGTTATTTATGACTAATATTGACTTTATATAACTATTACAAGATACTAAGCAAAATATAAGCGTTAATCTATACATGTAAATAAAATTGGGGTCTATTTGTAATAATGAAATAACCGCTTTTACTACATGCGATACATACACCAAAATACCAATTTTATTATTAGGCAGCTGATGTACTAAGGAACAACTTAGGCTATTTTTTCCACCAATGCTTTTGCCAAGTCCCGCATACAACTATGTAGTATCAATATAAACAATCATTAATGTCATCAATAAATTCCATATAAATATTCTCGTTAACAAAATCCTTAGCTTATCGATCACGAAGCGTAAAACCAAACGTGATTTATCAAGTTTTTTTTGTTGAACCAACAGCACAATACACATTGTACTAACTTAGTAAAAAACCTTCATTGTTGGCACACCTAACTTTATCTTTACCTACTTATCGACCTCGAATTTTCACTATAAACATTTTTTTTTCAGCTGACAAGAAGCCATTGGCTCAGAAGAATACGCCATCTAAGACGCCATCTTTGGCTAGTTCTAGAAGTAACTCCAAAGACGATAATTCTGATGATAATATAAGTCAGAGTTCCGTGGGAGGTGGGATTAAGGATAAACTAGCGGCACTGTTTAATAAGGAGCAGACAATCAGTGAATCTACTATTGCTAACAAGTTTAAACAGGAGAGGGAGAAGGAAATGGAGATGCTACAGAACAGATTTCATTATAAGGTGAGATATTTTTTTAATGCAGAGTTCTTTTATTTTAGGAAAGTTGGTTAGGGTGTAAATCATTACTTACCGCAAATCTCCAATCTTCGACACCACAAATGCCGGCAATGTACTTGTAACCCATTTGGTAAATCACCTGCTCGATTGCCGGCTTCTTAAATAAGGGTTTGTAAGCAAATTATCATTGTCTGATGTCAGCTTCAATCATTTATGTAAACTAATCCCAAAAAAGGAGTCAAAATTAGTTTTACAAGGTTCCCCGTCAATTTTGCGACATGTAATGTAACTCTTCGCTATACTGTGGTGCTACGGTGTCTTCAAAACTGGTTAAAGGCCATTTTTAAATGCTCAGATAGCTGAGGAATAACTTTGAATTTTTGACAATTATTCTATTGAAAATTGTCAACTGTCAATTTTATTATACAGTTAAGAATTAGCTTTAGATGATTGAAAGAAAAATCAGCCCTTAGGATACTATTTTTCTGACAACCTATAAGTTGAAGAATGGCATATTCTTCAACTTACCGACATTCCTATTTAAAACTATCCACAAAAATTTAAACTAAAATTCCTTTACGGTAGACATCGTCTCCTCGCTCCAACTCCTAACTTATTACTCCTGAGTTATTCCCGTCTCGAGGGCAACAAACTAGTGCTATTTATTTCCTCTTGCTTTACTCGGAAAGGAAATTAAGAACTGTACCTATTACTTGTTATGTGAATACCTTTAATACAGAAAGATATTATTGCCATTTTATATTAATGCTGTTTACAAGAATCATGGCTATTAAAAGCTTTTAATTAACTAAGAAATCCCTATAAACATTTAATGTACATGACCCAAATGGGATAGATTGTAGTCTAATGAAGTAAATAGAAAGATTCATACAAATAGTTGAATATAATTTTTATTTCATATTTTGCATAGGGTTGAGACTGATAGTCGACAAATAATATGAAAGCTTATGTCAACATCACACAATGAGTTTTCTAGTCTCCTGATTTTATTAGCTTCTTTATAGTATTTGTGTAGGGAAAAAATAGTTATCAAGATTTAAGAGTACTAGCCACCCTAAGCGGTTGTTAGTACAGTGGTCGATATTGATTTTCGACTTTATGTCATCAACACAATAAAGTTAAAGATGTAATGGAGAAAATGTACAAAAAAGCATAGGGTGACCTGCTGATCACCGTACTTACATTTAGAACTAACACCGAAAATAAACGAAATGACCGAGTCAACAAACTGTATCTATATTCTCTTAACATAGCTAACTCTTCTTCGTAACATAACAAAGTAACGAAAGTCTACACCAAGCACAATACGCGATAATTGACAGCTCCATACATTGAGTACACGCCCTAAACCTTAAAGAAACATAACCATTGCGAAATACCACGCAACATGTACTAATGACTTGTGCATGTACTAAGCAAAGCTTTAGGCCTCGAAGGCTGAGAAAAAAGAAATCGATTTATACTTTAAACGCACCTGCCATTATAGCCTTTATGCCCATTGTTTTAAAGCCTTTTGTTCCTTTGCCAAGGTATGTTACTGATTGGTTAGCAATTAACATGTTAGTTTGTTAAGTAAAGCCTTATTGCATATTCAACGTACAATATGAGAGTATTATGCAGTTTGTCTTGCGTTGAATAGGTTCTTGTAGTTGTTTAACACTTATATTCTACGGAATGTTAAAGGGAAGGGGCATTCGCAGCGAAATGTTGATTGGTTTCTTAGAATTTCTGTGTTTTGAATTTCTGTCATGTTTCGGCACAAATGGCCGGTTTGACTGGAGTGATACCACGGCCTCACAGAGAACCGACGTGAAACAACACTTGCGATGTGTTTCGTCGTGTAAGTGAGGTTACCGGAGACCCAATTAAATTAACCCATAAAAAATCGCAAGATAGACTAAGATAAGACTTCTCATCATTGGTAATTTTAACAAACATTTTTGCCTATATTTAGATGCATTAGAAATTTATTTGTCTGTTCTATCATCATATTACAGTACAGCTAAATGTATTTGCGAAATACTTCAATTTAAAAAGAACTTAACTAAACTCAAGGTATCGGTTTTCACATCTGCTACTAACGTCCCACTAAGGTAACTGCTCACCTTACCGAGTCAATAAATCGTGGTGTTTCTATCTTTACCGTAAAAGGATACTGGATTATAAAATATATTAGACACTACGTGATCTATCGTATCAACTTGAGTCGTTTTTCTTAGATTAACCCTTTCAAAGTCGAGAATTTTTAAACATAATTAATATTATAAGCGCTAGTAGATGACTTGAAAATCTTCATCTTTTGTCGGGTAGCAATACCTTTCGTACTTAGCCATACGAGTGTCGTGAGCGCCAACGTCGGCGTATAACTCGGTTAATTTGCAGAGGGGTCGAACACTCGATGGGTTAATAAAAAAAGTACGTATATGCCACAAAATCTATTTTATTCTACACACATTTCAAGTCTTATACAGACTGTGAAATAGGGCTTTTAGATGTAGTATAAATATAGATCCTAAATCTGCTGTAAGATAATATTTTCGGTTTAAAATATTCATCAGAAAACGTAGCATAAAACTGCAACCGTTTTAAGCTCTTTTCTGGATTAAAGCCAAATTGGCAACGTCCATATTCAGGCCATATTTTGGTCCGAAGCTTTTTATGCTTTTCTGAGTTACCAGTATCGTTGGCAAGCGTCCTATTAAATTGGGAAGTCCCCTTTCCAAAATGCATTAATGCATTCTAGCAGACAGATAGGCGACATATTAAAAAAAATCTCTCACAATGATTTTAGAGTCACGTGTCGAATTTCAATTAGATATTGTGTAGATGCTTTTTTGTTTATCTTAGTCTTTATGCAAATTGTATTGGATTTTCGACCTTTGCTACTATATGATAAGGTTTAATATTAATCTGAGCTATTGCGGTAGGTTGATGTGCTGCCGTTTCTATCATAAGTACGCGTGGTGTGGTCTCCGAAAACCTCCCAAGAAGGGTCTGAAGTCATAAAATAACTTCATCCGGGGTAGCAACTCATTGACTATCCTACCGCTAAATCCCATCAATGTGTTCCCGTGTGAACATATCTATTCATTAAAATTTTCCTTTTGAAGTGACTCAAGACATGGGGCATTTGGTTTTGTTCGAAGTTGTACCATTGATTGGTTATGTCCTTAGATAGTCATTGATGAACTGGTAATTTTAGACGCCTTGTCTATCTTAATTGTATGTTTATTGTGGTCGTATTAGGTGGCTAATACCGGTCTTTAAGGAACCCCTTAACTATGATAGGTGACACTTAAAGACTTTTTGTTTTAGTTTTCACTAACCTGTAAATGATCTCCTCCCAATGGTCAATCCTCCAATGGTGCTCCCTAACGCTTAGTAACTCTTAGTTAAGAGATGGTTAAGGTGGTTGGTGGAAAAGAGTCTTCTTCTTGTGGTGTCACATCATCCCTAAGGTTGGTCGTTAGTTTCATAAATGCGTGCGAGTCATTGGTCAAATAGAAAAGTTCAGTTCAAGAGACTGTTGGTTCATTAAGAAAATTATTCTTATGATAAAGAAGATCTGTAAATGTAGCTAAATAAATACATCTACTATCTATTCTCATCCTTTTGAGACACCTAGTGTTAGTATTGTTACACTTTTTTCTTTCTGCATTGTCACAAAAGAATATATTTGTTTTCAAAACAATACCGTATAAAAGGTATAGAAAATTACTCCTTACTTAGTCGTCATCTTCTAAATAATACATTTGTCGTGACTCCATTTAGTTTTGCTAATATTGTTTTACAAGTTTGTAGTGCAGACTAGCCTCTTTGTCAAATACCTATGTATATGTATTCGGTTTACAACTTTATTGTTTTTGGTGTAAAGTTAACAATCCAATGAAAAAGTTTACAAATTGAAGTAGGTTGAATTGCTATTGTAGAAATCACTTCGTGAAGCTACCCCTAACGTTAGATGAATTCGATGTATTTTGCACTGTATTACAAAGTCACTGAAGTTGGATTTCGAATGAAGAGTTTTAGTATATAAATAGACGTTGTGAATCATCTTACTATTAGGTGATTGTCGAAACAGTTGGGTGGTTTGTGGGAGCCATTTCGACATTTCCGCACCTCAGGTCGAATATCTTGGTTGGGAAATATGGCGTTACACATTATTTTTTAGTTAAATGATGTTTTTGACTTGTCGGTTTTATATAATGGAATTTATTAATACCGCACTTGTAAGGTTTATAATGGAAATATGTATTCTAAAATTCTGATCGTCTTTATAGTTTTGAAGTGGCAATTCGAGTTATATTACTATTGTATATACCTACCTAAACACCTATAGATAATTCAGTTTCGTTATTTAATTTCTCAACTGACTTAACCATCACGGATCAAGTTAGTTTTGTTGGTAAACACATAATATTAAACCAAGTAACTTGCTAAAATATTTCCTAATAAATATAATATTTGCGTACATTTACCAAGTTTGTACGTAATTTGATATATGTATTACGACATACATTGAATAACAACGTGTGTTTATGTCATCAACTATAAATCATTAGGTTTTCCTGTCATGGAAATCTTAATAATGTTAATCGTTCACACATTCACGCAAATTGGACATTAAATTATGTATAAGTTAACCTAGATTTAGTGCCCCTAATCCAATGTTGTTGACAAATTATTAGATAGATAATTAATATACCTCAGTTTCTCATTAGTAAATACAAACCTTGTCTAAACGCTTCATAATGAATGGAAGTAAAACGCTGATAATGTGACATTTCTGTTACCGGGGCTCCGGCTCGACGTGCAGGAGAGGGAACGGGGTAGTTTTTAGTCAGTAAGAGTCTGACACCCCCTCCCGCCTCACCCAGGCGGGAGCAGTCACTGGATGATTTTTACCCCTTATTAAAAAAAATAATGTTGTTTTTTGGTAAAACTTAAATGTCAATACAATTCTGCTAACCGAATCTTTTCCATAATTCCAGCCAAAACAAGAAAAAGAAGACACTCCAAATGATTCTGATGATGACACAAGTGAACATGATCCTTCAGAGAAGGCTCCCCTCATGGGCAGTACTGTAAGTCTCTCGCAAAACAACAAGAAACCAGAGATCATTTCCAACCTACCCAAAGTCATCTTTGACGAAAAGAAATCCGAAGCTTTGAACGATAAGGAGAAAGAGATTGAGAAAGAAGACAGAGTTATTGGATCACAACCTGTTAAAAGACGAAGTTAGTATGGTCATATACTTTTATCGATTTTTGATAACTTTGTTTCTACCAGCGGCGTTGCCCGCTTTATCGGGATGAGAGAATAAATCATTGTAACGTACACAAGAGTCAAATAAGTTAGAGTACATTGGAAATTTTTAATTTAAATGCATTTACATATCATGACCTACCATGTGCTTGTGTGACACACAAACAGCAATCTTCTAACTTCTATATTTACCATGCTGATTCTAAAGAGATGTTTACTAAAATCTCTGGTAACTTTCCTACTTGTACCTTCTTTATAATACGTTTAAAACCTTGTCTTACCATCTTGTTCCAGGTTCCCAAGACTCGCCAGTAGTCCTATCAGTTCTAGACGATGTAAAGAGAATTAAAGTAAATAACGGCAAAAAGGAACCACAAACTAACGGAGCGGTGTTACAGCAACCAGCCAGTCTGTATCCACATCTGTCAGACATTGAAACTGATACATCTCATAATCAGGATGAATACTCCGACTGCGGAGGATCAAGGTGTGGACACTACACTCTCGAGTGCATCTTCTTCTTTCTATGTATTTAAAAACTTGACGAAAGTTGCTCGGTGTTAAAATCTAGATGGCGTTGTACTCAATTGTGAGTTTCAAGATGGCGGCGTTGCAGCAACAGTTGTGACTTGAAGTACATTTTTGTATGTTCCTATTAAGTTAGGATGTTATTGTTTGGTTTATTATTTTAATTAATTATTAAACCTAAATAACGATTGCTTCAAGATACTTGAAAAAGCTTGAAATAGTTACTTATTTGATGTTGCTGCAACAAATAATTAGACTTTGATAACGTATCTATAGTATAAATATTTATTATTATTCCTATTTACTATTTATTACGTGGTTCTAGTGCTAGACAGGTTGCCTAGCCAGTTTTAGACTAGGTTTCAACCTAGATTAAGTTTGACATTGAACCGATCTAGACTAATTACACTAGGTAGGTAACTATGTGGGCATACATTAGTATTCAATCATTCAAAAACAACTATGAAATATTATAATATCGACATAGCAATTACACAGTTATTTAAACGTCAGTTTTTCATAGATTGATATCAAAAACAGTTTCCAAATGACAATATAAACGGCTATAATTGTATCGCAATTTTCTATTTAAACTATACAATGCCGTTGATCTATTAGCAACTTAATTCTCCTTTGAATACGATCGAAAATTAAAGATGTTGTGTAAGTGGACTTGTGACCAATTGTTTTTGGTAACAAATGACTGTTTTAAAGGCAAGTCTAACCTATAGTATACAAATTATCAGTAGCGACATGAATTTACATCCGAAGTTTGACATTTTCCTCATTATATGGCTAGCTGAGGATGTAGGTATATCTATAATCTATATCTCTTAGCCGAAATTAAAAAAAAAAAACAAGAATAATGAAATGATTATAAACATTTTTCGGTCTAGTACAGTGGCCGGCGTATGAACCTACTCCAATCTGTCAAATTTATTCATTGCATTTTCGACTTTATGTCAATAAAATAAAGTTGAAGATGTAATAGAGAAATTTGACAGACAAGGATAGGTTGAGGCCCACCGGGCCAGCACGTGTTGGCCACCGTACATAGTACGTAGATAATTTAAGTATTGATATTTATTCGTTCAAAATTGTTGAAAATCATCCCCTAAATTTGTTCATACAAAGTAGTCTCTAAACATTGGAAATAAGGTCTATAATGTAGTTAGTGGAGGGCGGTCACCGGTGACCGCTTGGGCGCTTGGGGATATATGAGTTAAACCTTTGTCTTATAAACAAAATGCAATAATTTACAATTTGAAATTAATTACAACGTGCCTAAATTATGAAGGACTGGTTTACATAACTTTTTGGATACTTATTTGATTAGCAATAAGGTTTAAAATTGAATGTCGCATGTTAATAAGTAATTCGGTTTACCAGTTATGGGCTACGTAGATTTTATAGGTAAATCGTTCATTATGATGAAGATTTAACGATACTAAATCTCTAAGAACTTCAATAATGTTTTATAGTTCTTGTCATGCGATTTTGTATCGAATAATAGTAGTATTAAAATCCGTTTTAATGAAATCAGAAAAGGAATTTTGACAAATAGAAAGATATTTCGTACTCCAGTGCATAAATATTATCTGTTAATAGTTGTAAATAGTACATGTTTTAAAATACCTATTGTCTTGTTGAGAAAAGCTGGGCTTGATCAATTAATCCTTTTTTATATTTAACATTCGATGGGCCGCCGTTTGGCCACTATCTAGCCTCATGGTAAGCTATAATTAATTCTTAATTTAAAAAGATATTACAACATGTAATTGACAAAAGCATTCTCAAACACACGACAATTTCAGAGTACATATACATACTCCATGTAAGTAATTCGATACTTACCATGTCCCACAAAGTTGCAGATTGCACAATGTACCGTTACTTTACACTATACGCTGTACGGTTCTAGTAAATTGCCACGTTCGTAATAACTTCTCATATTACTGCCAAGCTGCTGACTGTTGAACTTAGTATTATGGGTTCAATTGCACTACGGAATATTTTAAATGTCATATAAACTTAGAACTCAGTACTGTGTTTAGTAAATATTGTCGTGACACTGAAATGACGGATAAACATGTTGTTCAGCTTAAAAAAAAATCTAAATATTACGTTTAGGTACAGCACAAGAAGTATCATCATATCAGCATAGGAAATCATTTTTTTATTATAATTTTTATGAAAGAGGTTTTGCCCTAAATTCCACTTAAAAACTAAATCAGTTGATGTTTATGTAAATACAAAAAAAATAAAAAATCAATTGCATAAGCAATTATCCTACTATACTCAAAGATGACAATTTATTAATCAAGTCATTGACATCTCATTTCTCTATTCTAAATCAAATTATTATTGCAAGTAACCTATTTATTTCATTTAAATATAGCATTATTATAAAGATGCACTACAAAATTGAAGTTACTTCATAAAAATAAAAAGTCGTACACAAAATGAGTAGCACAAACTACCGAATATATACTTCATTAGGTATTCACTAAATGTCCCAAGTTATTGGGTCAAGTCGATTTGCATGGTAGCCGGTAGACTGCAAAAAATACGTTGATTATCGTTCGTACATATCTAATTTGTTTGCTCCATGTCTTTATATAGAAGAAGAGGGACTTTTTTGTATTTTTACCCTTTATATTTCCGAGTATTGCGTTTGTTATTTGGTACTTATTGGTCAAGACTGTGTTTTAATAAGCTTGGCAAGCGAGAATGTACCTTAATTATTGACGTATCTGATAGCTAATCTGATTGAAATTCTGTTTAGGAATGTCGGATATAATAGTAGTGGATTGTGACGTCATCATTTTATTGTCGTCTTTTTTTAAAAATTCTGCACTTGTAAATAACAATAACAATGTTTAGGGCTTTCTGTCTCTATTTGCTTATTATGTGAAACTATAGTTCATATTTCGAAAGCAATAACTATGAATAAGTAAGTACATCAAATTAATTGATACAATATCATCTATACCTAACAGTATATATGTATCTACATTATATACTAGCTCCTTATAACCTGTTGTTTAACGAAATGTAATTCTAGATTAGACATATAGCATTTACTATTGTGTTTCATAATGCGATAGTCAACTGATTTTAAGACTGTAAGATGCCTGCTAGTATGTAGTGGTTTTGCTACATTCTTTTATACACGCATATATATATGTATCGTAGAATAGTAATACATATCTCTTTAAACTGCCCACAATTATAAGCACTACTTATTATTCAAACATAATAATGAACAGTACAATTCCATAGAAATTGCGCGTACATTAAAATGATACTTAATGACATACATATAAAGTTGTTTATACTCTGTCTTTCTCTTGCATATAAAAGACAATAAATTCGTATAGATTTTGATAGTGACAAGCTATTATCACCCTTAAGGTTATAGTACTAACGCTCAGCACACAAATATCCAATAATTTAAAAGATCAACATAATTTAATATCAGATTTTTGTTAAACAAGCAAATATCACACTTAAGGTTCTAATATTAACGCCTAAATTGTCGAATACTTCTACTACTTACTAAATTGTACTAGTAATTTATTAGGAACAAATTATAATTGTCATATGTACGTAGGATAGGTACAAAATTCCGAAATCAAAATTAACTTATCTAAACGAATACCTTAGATTTACTAGGTTAAACTATTCGGGCTAATGTCTAGACATTCGTGAAATAGATACATGCATAATCAAGTAACATAAAACAATTGAAATTAGACTCTTTACCTATGTTCACAGAGTTGAAAATATCGATACTTAATTAAATTAATGTTTGCAATAGTTTAACAGTCTATTAAGCGGGGATTCCATGAATGCGATCATGCGATTTTTTGTCCTGTTCTCCTAATGAGACTTGACGTAACACCTCAAGTTGAATAATTGCGATTAATCGTATGATCTGCGTTAATGAAACACAATGCCATATTATAACATCCAGCATTTTCGAAACGCCATTTTGCCCATATCTATTTAATTTAATATAGTTTGTATGTCGACTAATATTTTTACGTAATTATAAGACTCCTTTTCAGGTATTTTGTAAATTATGTTGTCTGTGATAATATAATACTTAATATAGTAACGATTTTTTTGTAAAATAAAGCTATTGAAACATAAAATTTGGTTTTTTAATTCCCTTTTGTCTTGCTGTGTTCCTTGTTTTATTTTTTGCAGAAAAGTTCTCAGTGTGTTGTTTAGTTTTATTTTGGCTAACCCTTATTTTGTCAACAATGGGGATGATTTTAAATCAAGTTCGGAATGGACCCTCGTGGTTGTTCTTTTGCTAAATCCTAAGTTTCACAGGGTCGTATTAAATGATAAAGTATTACTGGGTTTTTTAACAAGATCTCAGTAGTAGCACGGAGTCTGGATTTGTGCCCGGTGCATGGCAATAGGCTCACCCCCTATTACATGAGACTCATAACATAAATTGTGAAAAGTTGGTGTTACTTTGTACAGTGGCATTGAGTGTCGTAATGTGCACCTCTACCTGCCTCTTCGGGGATAAAAGGCGTGATGACATGTGATGTATTAACTGCGTAGCAAAATATAACTGAAAACGTATATTAATGGGGCTTCTTTACAGGACTTTACCTTCATTCTTTTTACAGAGTATGATAATATTGACTACATGACAAGTAAACTCATTATTAATAAAAAAAATTAGTTAAAAAAGTTATATGTACACCTCTTTTTTTGCACACCTGTAGATAATATTGAAGAAAAATAACATAGGGTCATAGGTAATTAAAAGATGAGACAGCATTAACGCATTCACAGCGCAGTGAATGCGTTAAAGGTAAATCTGAACGAAAGATAAAAATACTAGTTAATTAGAAAGCGCTTTAACTGTAGTATCTATATCATTACTTATTGTTTGCAAATAAAGACGATTATTCCTAAATCAGGTTATAGTTGGACCCTATTACTTTTAAGTAAATGAAGTTTATAGTAATCATATGATACAGTACCTATTCAACAGGTACTGTGTCAAATCATATTCAATATTATCTTCAATATAAACTTCATTTACTCAAAAGTAATATTTTTTTTAAGGGGAGGAAGTCATCGAATGGCTACTCCCGCCTGGGTGAGGCGGGAGGGAGTGTCGGACTCTTACTGACTAAAAACCACCCCGTTCCTTCTCCTGCACGTCGAGCCGGAGCTCCGGTTACCCGTTAGGTTCTCCGCGACAAAAGTATTAAATTTGGGCTGGAACTTTTCTACAGCGTCCAGTTATAGCATAGCGTTCTAACAACGTTTTGGTTTGATCTTTACAAAAGGCATTGTGATTATTGTTTCTTTCCTCTGAGTAAAAGGAATAGTCTCACTAAAATAGATACTAATAGCTTCTGGCAGCGACTTTGTCCGCGTTCCCGTAGGATAAAATTTAGCCTATGTGTCATTTCACACCATGGTCTGCTCTGTTCCAAATTTCATCTCGATCCCTTGAGCCGTTTTGACGTAAAGGAGTAACAATCACACAAACATACACTTTTGCAATTATAATATTAGTGGGATGCAATACAGTTTGCCGTATTCTATTTGTTTTGTTTGACGTTCAAAAGTGCCTTCCTGGTCTTATTGAAAGAAATGATTTTGACTTTTTTATAATGCATTAAATAGTTTTATTATTAGACATACAAGTGCACATCAAAATGTATCTGTTTGTGGGAGATTTTGCTCTCTCTATAAGCTCTAGGTATTCTACACGGCTATTTCTTCCTACACTCACAGCCCCATACAACCAATCCTCGAAAGCACAAACCATATGAAATAAAACCAACAAAATGAACCGTTTTTACGAAAACATCTGCCGGCGTTCGAGGGGGGGAACCAGATGTTTCATTGAATACAAAATTATAAGCTAGGCTCGACAGATGGCGCGACTGTTTAGTTATTGTATAAATTAAGTCAAGGTGTGCGTGCAAACTTTATGTCCAAATACTCAAATGCCACTTTATTTTAAGACTTCTTCTGTCACTACAAATTCTTTATAGAATGACAGAGATGGCACGATATTTAAGTACAATTTAAAATTTAATAAACTTTCAGTAGTCGGGCGTTGATCTCGTGTGTATTATCAGTTTATTGTAGGCTTTGGGCTTGTTTTATTCCGTCATAGGTACATACATAGGTTAGTAATAAATTTCTTTATTGTAGATCAGATGGTAAAACATAAATAAACATACACATTCGATTTTGTTTCAGTATGCAAAGCTATTTTTTGTTTTCATTACTTTGAAAGCCCTTTGGAAGCTAAAAAAGCTAAAGTCTTATTCCTCGAAAAGGTATTCAGAGGTTCAAATTCAAATCACTTTAATGAATCAATAGTGTGTACAGGGCGGTTTACAATTTTTGACAAAATATGTTCCAACTATACTGGAACTGAAGGTGTACACCTTTACCAGTACTGGTGGAGGTTTTTTGCGTCTCATTTTTAAATAAATAAAAATAATAAAATTCGTTTATTGGCATACACAAGTTAGATTACATCTAGACATGGAAGCGAACAACATTCACATAAATGCAATTACGGCAGAGGTTCCCGTGGGCCCCAAACTAGGCACAGCCTGTATCTTGGTGGCCCAGTGGTAAAGGTTTAGACTAGTTAGTTCTCGCGTCATATTTGTGACACAGTGCAACCATACATACATTTTAACCAGTTACGTTTTAGTACTAACCAAGGTTACCAAGAACTAAAGGGAAATTCAGCGTAATAGACAAGTGAGATGGGCGCAGCCACGGTGGGTCTCTAGATCCCTAGCTTATACCAAGAGTACGTACCCAAATTTAAAATATCTGAATCATCTATTAGGTAGTAACTAGAAAAAGTGTTTAGTATTTACAATAAATTATACTCGACTGTCGTTAGTTAACCAGTCTAAAACCGCGCATATATATTTTACAGGTTACATATTTTTTTAGACTTGCCCCACCCTGAGCCCTTGGCTGGCTATGCCCATGGAAACTAATAGCAAGTGATGTACGCCGTCTTCCGAAATCACAGACTTTGTGCACTTTATGTACCTAGCTACTAAAAATATCAAAATCATTAGTTTGATCACGAGACCTCCTGCTCTACATTCGGACTTACCCTATCAAAGAAGTTAGTCTTTGATAGGGTAAGTTTGTATCAATGGATGGCGACCGGCTCAGTATTTTAGCGGTTCGATTCAATACCCACGATACAGTAATTAAACTGGTGTTGCCAAAGAGAGGTCATTTGTTGACAAAGTTAAAAATTTACAACTTATTGTTATTTTACCTATTTGTTGTCTATCATACCCATAAATACAAGGACGAAATGTAAACAGTAATAACAAACTCATATTATAAATATCAAAATTTCTTTGTTTGAATGTTTGTCCGTCCGTCGTTGAAAGTACTAAACAGATTTTGTGTGAAATTTAGTATATAGGCAGGGTATGGGATGACTTAGGTGATAGGATATTTTATCCCGATTAAATGCTCCCATGGATAAAATAGCAATTATATTCTACGCGGACGAGGTCGCGAGCAACACCTAGATACAAATATAAAGGGCCTATAAAAAGCACTTTGAACCTATTACGCAGAAAAATATAAAAGTAGATTATACGTATTTAATTTTCTTAGTAGGCAGAGCAGAGGAAACAAATTCCACTGCTGAACATAAGATCTCAAGTTCTATCAACGAATTTTTACTTTTGAAAATATTATGAGATAACAGGTGCGAAATCAGAAAAGTATCAGAATAGTATCACTAGTGCAGTTACTACAAAATTTTCTGATTTCTCAGAACATCATCTATTCTGTTATTACTCAGAATGACACAATTCATAAATCATGTTAGAGAGTCTGCAACCAATCGACTAACGGGAAATAAAGTACCGAGAGAGTAAAAGGCATTTTAAAAGATCTTTTATTCAAGTTTTAGAGTTGTGTAAGAAAATAGATCATTAGAAAGATTCGTGAGGTCAAAAGAAAACAGTAGTCTTTCAGCCTTCAGGCACAACGCATTTTTGCCACATGAAAAAACAATAAACACTGTTGCATCCCACTTGGTCGTATGACCAGGTGCATGGATGTGATAGAAGCTGAAGAATTATGTAGGGATCGTACTAGGGGGCGCTGTATGGTTTCTGTCGACTATTATGAATTTATGTATGATGATAGATAGATTTCGAAGATGCTTCGGCACGAATGGGCTGGCTCGACCGGAGTGATACCACGGCCTCACAGAAAAAAACCGACGTGAAGCAACGCTTGCGCTGTATAAGTCAGGTTACCGGAGGCCCAATTACCCACCTCCCTAGTCTCCTTAATCACCGAATCCCCAACAATCCTCAAATTCCTAAGCCCCAAAAGGCCGCTAACGCACTTGTAATGCCTCTGGTCTTTCATGTGTCCATGGGCGGCGCCGATTGCTTACCATCAGGTGATCCGTCTGCTCGTATACCGGCTTATCCCACAAAAAAAGATTCTGCATGATCTTGTTCTACAATTGAACACCGTGCGTAACGTCTGTTAGATTATCATGGCATGTCTCTCTTTTCTTAGATAATACAAATAAATAAATACTAATGAAACCAAACACACACTGAGACTAAACTACACAGCAAAACAAGGGAATTAAATAACCAAAACATGTATTTTTCACCAACTTGAATATCCCATACTTATACCAATATGTTTTAACATTTCAGTTCCGAGGATTACCTTCAGGATACGCGAGACAGATTGAACAAATCTGATAACTGGGCTGAAACATCCTTCGGTCGTGAAGTTATGAATGTAAGTTTGCTAAAACATACTTTATTACTTGACTGCCTCGTTGGCCGAGTGGTCGCAAATGCGACTGCTGGGCAAGGGGTCTCGGGTTCGATTCCCGGGTCGGGCAAGTATTATTGAGTCACGGAGTCCGGAATTGTGCCCGGTATATGGCAATAGGCTCACCCCTATAACATAAGACTCATAACATAAATAGTGAAAAGTGGGTGTTACATTGTACAGTGGCATAATGTGCACCTCTGCCTACGCCTTCGGGGATAAAAGGCGTGATGTTATGTTATGTTATGTATACTTTATTATTAAGGTAGTAAAGTTCGAATTAATTCAGATTTATTATACATATTTATTTGTTGTTAAATATATTTAACAAATCCTTCCTATATAGCCATTTGTAGTAATTACTACATATAGGAAAATCGCGAGGAAAACCACATCGCGGTTACCGCCTATGTATAGCTATTCTCTTTAGAGTATTCGTTGATTTTACTTCTAATTGAGGAGTGACTTTTCTAATAAAGAATAAAGAACCGGACACTTCACGTCATATAATGTGAGTGTACATAAAGTCCCGATTGGCATTAAAAAAATAAGTAAAATTGGGAACCCGAAGTAAGCCGTTTTGAAAAGTCACTCCTCAATTATTACTTTTAACTTACCAATCATAAGTATTGTGGCCACCTTACTTCAATTTACTCCTTTGTGCCAATTTATGTTATCGACTTTCATCTTTATTGTTTTGTAATAAAATCGAAAATCCAACGAAAAATTGGAGTAAATTACACTGCTAGCTTTTGTACGAACATTGTATTTTTATTTTTTGAAATCAATAAATATGGTGTTGGTATAATCAGGTTGTAAAGAAAAATAACACAAGCTACAAGAAGGCGGTCCGTGAGTGTGACTCTGACAGCAGCGGCGCGGACAGCGAGCTGGACGATATCTTGGACGAGGCTATTAATGAGCAGAGTGAAGGACCTACACCGCCTAAACTAAATAAGGTAATTATAAATTACTAACTTCTAATTAAAAGCCGAAGTAGCTTATTGTTACTACCTATCTATCCCTGTTCCAAATTTCAACCCGATCCCTTCAGCCGTTTTGACGTGATTGAGTAGCAAACATCGCACAAACTTACAAACTTTGGCATTAATAATATTTGTAAGATTCTTAGGATAAATATTTATACTATGTAGTTCAGAGCTGAAACGCACCAAGCATGAATTCTAATTCTTAACATAACAAATACAAACTTTACTTTGGAAATTAGGAACCCTTAGGTAAACCAAAAAAAAAATTACCAAAACAAATGTTAACAAAGGTAATTTTACCTATTATTGCGGTCAAGTGACACATAGCTGTAGAAAATATTGCATAGATTCTCTTTCCACGGCTGTCGTAAAAGCCAAATTAAGCATTGTACAATGTACATCTATCAAGAACTGGGTAGCAGCGCTCTGATAAGAACATTTTAAACAGCCTGCCACTGCTAGGCTATGAGACTAAGCCCCACTTCTACATACGTATTTGCCATAAATAATAATCCTCATGCTTAACTGACGGGTTGAACACTGTAGATAAGGTTAGGCCTCGGTAAAATCTGTCGCCTAGTCGCCTCTTACATAACAACAGCGGTAAAGAAATGGTGACAAGACACATCTTAAAGATGTAAGAAGAAGATAAATAGATACAGATATGAGAAGAAAGATAGAAGAAGGAAAAAACTAAAAACAAGTGACATGTTACAGATTAAAGACATATTCATGTCCCAAGTCTGCGGTGAAATGCATCCTACTTACCGTCACCACACAGCTAACACATTACGCAACAGCATATAAAAATAAGGGAATAAACACAATAGCCACCCAAGCCTTGAATGACACGCAAAGCTAGACACGTTTTTATATCATTCCCATTGTTATACCATTGACAAGTTTCCGCCACAAAACTAAAGAGTCGGTTCCCTCAGTAAACATTTAGCTCTCATCCGAACCAGTCGACACTCGTATAAAAATCATATAAATAAGTGCATTGTTTATTGTGTACGTGTGGTAGAAATATGTGGTATTATAATCCGTGTTTGTGTTCACTATTATGAGTGCAAGTGGTAAATAAAAACAGATCTTGTCATTCACACTTATATTGGCATTATGATGTGTGTTCGTTAAGGATATTTAAACGGATTTATGAAGGTATTGTTATTAATATTATTTGCGTATTTTAGTTCATTATTTTCATGTTGGTCCTGTGATTTCATTCCTTATTGTAGATTGTAGAAACTGTTATCCCTTTTATGATGGCTCATGGTTCACCTCCACCATTGACTGTATCTGATAGATCTTTTTTTGAAGGAGAAATGCAATGACTTCCTCCTGCTTTAGGTGAAACTAGGCATCCAACTACTCCCGCCCAGGGTGAGGCGAGAGAGCGCCAGACTCCTGACTAAAACCCACCCTGTTCCTACTCCTGATTTGTGCCTGAGCTCCGGCACTCCGTTGGGTTGTCCACAGCTCCGGATCAAGGTCTCTGATAGACTGGTGATGATGCCATGAAGTTTGTTAGACTAGTTTTCCTTCAGTTCCCTTTATAAAACGATTTTAAATTGTAAACCCTACTGGTGATTTCTGGTTTAACGAGTTTTGCTAGTTTTTGTGACTCAGTCATTGGAAACGAAATTTGACAAATTAGACAAGTTAGCAACTGCTAGATTAGATGCCTCAGGGTATGCTATAATCTCCCCGGTTGGCAAGCAGGTTAAAAGGTTATTAGTAAAGCTGTTGCCAGATCACAGTTAAATATGTAGTGTGCCCCCTATCCCATAAAAACATCGAACCAACCACATGTGTGGGTTGGTTGCAGCAATCTGTGGAGTCCTCATCAAGTTTCGTGTACCAGGAGCGCTCGGCCTTCAAGTCGCCGCTGAAGGTGCAGCCAGCCACTCCTGCCAGGCACGACAAGGGCGGCGAGCTGGTGCACAGCGTCAGCTTCTACAGGCGTATGCAGAACCAGGTCAGTTGTCTAGAAATTATATCTGATACCACATTTTAAAGAGCCAGAAAAACGTGGCCAAAGTCTTGTCTTGAGTTTTCTCGTGTGTTGTGGGTGTGTTTACGTGCATAGAGATCACATACAACACTTAAATACACCGGAATAACAATTTGTGGTCTGTACAAATCAACTTTCACTATATTTTTTACTTTAAAATAGTGGAAAATATTGGAATATTCATTTAGAACACAAGACTAATTTGTTATTTCACTATGTGTTTCATTTTCCATTTGTCATTAAACTGTCAAATACCAAGCGGTCACCGGTGACCGCAACCTATTGTTCTATAATTGTGTCTGCAAAATCGGTACTCGACGAGTTAATATTGATTATATCAAAGACAAAATGGCACACCAGTGCAACCTAAGATTACAGTACTAAACTAAAAAAAATTCTTTAGGCACAAATGTTAACACTATTCCACTATATTCCCCAGTCCACAACGCCATCAACTCCAATGCGCGTGGTCCGGCACGTGTCGCCGGAACGTGGGCCGCCCGCCACGCCGGACGAGCCCACCGCCAACGTCACCACCGTACGGGAGCGCATCAAGGAACTCCAGAACGAAATCGCTAAACAACAGACTGTTATATCACAGGTAAATATTTCAAAATCACGGCGAATGATTTAGTGCTAACAGATCACGATTTGTGAGTCCCAGTGTGACTTGAAATTAGTCGAGCTTCCTCGATTAGTTGCGGGAGTACACCGTATATTTCATTGTAGTATGTCTTGCAGCTGTTGTTATTACACAAAAGTAACAAAATAATGTTATTAATGTACAGAATAAAATGGATAAAGTTTTTAGTGCTTTTTTGTGAAAATCATACATTATTTTGTTTGTTTAAATTCTTAATAAGTGGTTTCCATTTTCAGGCGAGTCAAGCTTTGAACCTATGCGCTGCTACTATAGAATTCAGCGGCTCTACCGAGCAGGCAGAGGGCGAAAGACTGTTGCTATTAGCGAGTAAGTCAATTCTTAAATATATTCTCTCATACTTATACATATCTTGAATTGAGGAATAACTAAATCCTCGAGATTGCAGTTACATAAGTTACCTAGTACAAATATTGAGAACACTTGCCACTCAGTGGCTGGTCGCAGCAATGAGGTCCTTGATACTCTTACTTGTACAATATAAATAAATATACATTGTCCGTGCAGCCCACCGGCGCCAGGCCTGCCTGCACGAGCTGCAGCGGCTGCAGGTGGAGGGCGCGGGCCCGGCCGCCGCGCCCGGCATGGCCTCGCTACAGCTCGCTCACCTCGCCGTGCCGCTCAAACGGGATTATGTCAGGCAACTCAACGCAGGTACTGGAACATTATACGCAAAATTCTTCGATTATTATTTTTTTATGGAATAAGCCGGTAAACGAGCAGACAGATCACCTGATGGTAAGCAATCGCGTGCTATCAAACAAGTGCGTTGCCAGCCTTTTAGGGATTAGGAGTTTGAGGATTGTTGGAAATTAAATGGGTCCGGTAACATCACTCACAGGACGAAACACAACGCAAGCATTGCTTCACGTCAGTTTTCTGTGGATTTGGATATATTGTATCCGTATTTAGAAGAAAAGGCGGCCAGCTGATGGATCACCTACAGGTAAGCAATTGCCGTCTGCTACACCAGAGGCGTCATTTGCCTGTCTTTTGGGTGGGGATGGAAGGGAACATTGATCCTACGGTAACCTCACAATCGCACAAGGTGAAACAACGCAAGCGTTATTAACCCGTTGAAATCCATCCCCTAAATTTGGTCATACAAAAGTAGTCTCTAAACATTAGAAATAAGGTCTATAATGTAATGTAGAGGTAATATTAGTGGAAAGCGGTCACCGGTGACCGCTTGGGGATTTATGGGTTCACGTCAATCCAATCGAACAGGTCTATTCATACCATCTTTTTCTACGTACAAACATGTGAAGACTGGAAAGACTGTGAGATAGAGAAATGACTTTATCTATTTAACAGAAGATATGATCATGGACAGATTGCATATTATGTAACGAGGAGTTGTTGTCCGTCAGACGGCGCGGTGGGGCACCACGCGGTGTGCCTGGTGAAGTGCCGCGACCGCGTGCTGGCCACCAGCATGCAGCAGACGCAGCCCACCGCCAACGTACTGCACTTCCCGGACGACGTACAGATGCTTGGACTGGCGAGCGACTTCAAGGTAACACTCCTCAATATACCACACATTGATGACAACTAAGGAAAAATTGTCCATATAATCCAAACTTATGTAAGTTTTTAATGATATTTTATATAAATATCGATCGACTTAATGACGAATTTCGGCCAATGAACTGAATTGTTTCATATATCCAAGTTAATTTCAGATTATTATTCTCTGACTAGGAAAGGTATTGCTATTCAAAGTTAAGCTAGCTTTATGATTCCATTATCGTAGCACAGAGCGAAGCGTCACCGATTCGATTTCATGGTAGATATCCCACCCACACGCACGAAGCGCTTCGCATCAAGCTTCTTTTGTGCGTACTGCAAAGCAATGAAATCCTATGCTAGTCTGTTTCCTGTCGCGGAGAACCTAACGGGTTACCGGGGTCCGGCACGTGGGTGCAGGAGAAGGAACGGGGTGGTTTTTAGTCAGTAAGAGTCTGACACTCCCTCCCGCCTCACCCAGGCGCGAACAGTCATTCGATGATTTTCCCTCCTTAAAAAAAAGTCTGTGTTTCCTGAAGGGTATAATAACCTGGGCGTATTCAAGGCCCGAGTGAAGATTGCTTATGGGCAAACGTGCTACATCGTAGACCGCATCATCGCTTACCACCAGAGGAGATAGTGGTCAAACGTCGGCCCATCAAATATATAAAAAAACGAGTCGATTATGTCAGTATTTTCTTCGATCTCATTTTAAATATCGTAAATCTGTTTCCAGGTGACAGTGGAAGTGTACCTGCTACAAGCATCGAAGGAAGTGTTGTCACACGAGATGAAATACCACATTTCTAACAAAAAGGTGAGCTTTATTTACTTAAACACTCATTCGACCCTCTTTCAGTTACGTATTTAAGTCAATCTTATTGTTTCCACTAATTAAATGATAATTAATATTATCTCAACAGTCAACTTCAAAGCTCCTGACACCGAAATCAAAGATATCAGAGCTGAAGGCGCCCCGCGTACAAAGTCCAGCGGGACCTATGGCGGTCCGCTCGCCACAGTTCTCGTTGCACGGATACTGCATTTTTGCACTGCAACAGTCTACTAGGAAGAACTTTACGCTGAATAAGGTTAGTAGATAGATTCGATAACATAACATAATATCACGCCTTTTATCCCCGAAGGGGTAAGCAGAGGTACACATTACGGCACTTAATGCCACAATACAATGTAACATCTAATTTTCACTATTTATTTTATGGCGAAACGAGCAGAACAGATGGTACATGTGACAGTAAGCAATCGGCATCGTCTATGGACACCCGCTTTATTAGAGACGTTGGAAGTCGGGGATAGGGTCACCGGTAATCTCCACAGACACAGCGAAACACAACGCTGAGGTTGTTACACGTCGGTTTTCTATGAGGCCGTGGTATTACCCCGGTCATGCTAGCGAATTTTAATCATAATTGTGTCATTGACTTTGTTTCTAAAACATCAACAAAACTTCCAGGTCCCAGGCGGCAGTCCACTAGAAGGCTCAGTGAACCTAGAGATAAAGGCTCGCGTCCAAGTATCACCGCCGGCGCCGCACGCGGCCTTCCTCACTGCGTTCGACGATGTGTCCGGACTCGGGGCATGGCACCGACGGTGGTTCAGGCTGCAGCCTCCTCGACTGGCCTACTGGAAGTACCCTGATGATGTGCAGAAGAAGGTAACATTTGAAGCTTTATAATTACGTGTCGCGGTTTCGATTCCCGCACGGGACAACTCTGTGTGTGATTTACAGATTGTTTAACCGGGTCTGGGTGTCATGTATATGTGAACTTGTGTGTTTGTAAATGCACCCACGATACATGAATAAATCGTAGTGTGGAGCAACGTTTGTCTTTATAATAAAATCTTACCTAGCATTGTCAAATGTAAAAATTGTCGCTAGTAAATGTCTTGTATGAACAATAACGTAACCATACAAATCTAACAACACACATATTCCCTTACAGATGCCAATCGGCGACATAGACCTCTCGACAGTGATATCAGAACGCGTAATCAAGGCACCACGCGACCTCTGCGCCCGTCCGAACACGATCCTTCTAGAATCCTCCATACCAGCCGGTTTGATCGTCCCGGATTCAGGATCCCTAGTCTACGTCCGACGGCCAGACGGATCTATCGTTAGACGCCATCTCTTAGCCGCCGATACGCCTAAGGACAGAGATATTTGGCTCGATTGCTTGAACAAGGCATTAGAATATGTTAGATGCTGCGGCACAGAAGACGATTGAGTTGAGTAAGAATCTTTAATGTTTTGTTTAGATTTTTCTATGAAGAGGTTTGTTGTATTTCGAAGGGTGGTTGTGTTTGAGCCTTTTTAACAAGGGGTTATTTGTGAAAGTGGAAGTTTTTGTTGTAGACTGTGGAGTTTTATATTTCTGATTTTGCGTAAGACTCCTATTGTACGCAACTGTTCCAGATATGTTTGTTTAAAACGCGTTCGGCGCTTTTATTGATTGGATCATTGGAGCCGGCCAATCAGAGCGTCGAACTCAGTCTCGTTTCGATCAATTTCAACGTAAAACAAAGGCCCCAGGCCTTTTACATTGATCTTGTCAAAAATGGGTATTATGAGCCTCACTAACCACCCCTAAACCATTTCGTATCTAAGAGTTACTTAACGTGTTCGGTGTCACTTATAGGTAGATGAAAACCAAAATGTTAAGCATCATCTAAGCGTAGGAGTTCTTTAAGATTTAAAAGAGGTTGGGGTAAACGTGCCGTATTCCTTCGAAGATAAAAAGTCGTTCTATTGAACGACTTTTTATCCATAGTGATTGTATATTACGGAGCCACAGAAGGCCTAACGGGTTGCCGGAGCTCCGGCTCCGCAGGAGCAGGAGCAGGAGTAGGAATAGTCTGACACTCCCTCTCGACAACCGAAGAGGGGAGAAGTTTTGATGATTTTCCCCCCTTTAAAATACGACAACCTCTTCATATTTGTACATTAAATTAACTACTATAATATCTTTAACATAGCAAGTAACGATAGAATATAGTATGTCAATTATTTGTCGATTTTTATACATACATGGAATGGATTATAAACATGTGATAAACAGGAATCATTAAAAGACATCGTTCTGTGATTTTTGATGAAATATGTATGGATTAGTCTCTTTTATTGGATTGATGGTAATTTATAAGGCTTTTTCTAAAGTAAAATTGTCTAGAATACCATTTCTATATTACCTGGCTATCCAAATACTCAAACAGCACTCGATTTTAAATCGTGCTTAACTATAATTCTGTCTCTACAAATCCTTTGTAAAATGACAGAGATGGCACGATATTTAAGTACCACTTAAAATTGCTAAAATTTCTAATCGCCATCTATACAAAACACGTTATGAAGCTATTCTCCGCCTTATCTATTATTTGATTGGCTGGGCCCAATGAAAATATGTATTACCTAACGTATTGATTTACCTAAGGGACCAATTTTGCTATAACAACTAGACGATCATGCATCATAGGAATCTTGTCGTATAGTCGGCGGTCTGCACGAGTATGGAAAACTACGCAGGCTATGCGAACTAAGCTGAACTAACTTATGCCCAAATACTGAAATGCCACTGAATTTTGAGTCGCGCTTAAGTATTGTTCTGTCGACTATAGTTCTTTGTAAAAGACTGAGATGGCACGATATTTATATGCTACTTACTTACTTGTGGTCACTGGTGATCGCTCTCCACTTACTCCATTATAGACTTTATTTCCGATGTTTATAGACTACTTTTTTATATACAAATGTTGTGGATTTTTCGTGATCGTGGATATACAAGTTAAGTACAAATTAAAATTTAGTAGCTTTTCAGTATTCGGATATTAGCTTATCTCTTGGTCTGTAACCAGCTTATACCCCAAAAAGCAAGATTTTTTTTAGGACGAATAGAGTGAATGTTCTAATCTTTCCGATGTTTTGCTATTTAAACAAAAGAAATGTAATTATGAAATTAGTTTTAACTGTTCTCGATAACTAACTCATCTATTTTAGTTCTTACCTCTAACTGCGACGTATAATTTCAAAAAATCTATTAATTGGAGGATGTTATCATAAATGATCCTGCAGTTTTCGAGGTTTGCGCATAGCTACACATTTTGCGCTTGATGATTTTTATTCTATTTTACTATTTTTAGCTGTGCTATTTTAAATATAACCATGACAATACTTTACTACTACAATTACTAATTTAGATAAGGTCGAAAATTATACATTTTATTACAAAAAAATTACGTAAATTCTTAAATTAATTTTAGACGCGTACCAATAAAACGTAAATATTTTATTATTATAATAGTGTGCATAGTTTTAGTTTGACTGAAATCTAGCTTTAATTTTACTAACAATTTAATTTTAATCATGATACTGATTTTTAAAATGTTTTCATTATTAATTTTTAGTCCCTCTAGCGAAGAGCAGAAGTAGGAACGGGGTGGTTATTAGGCAGTAAGAGTGACACTTCCTCTCGCCTCACTCGGGCGGTAGAAGACATTCAATAATCCCACCCGCCCCCACCCCTCAAAAGAAATAAAGTCCCTTTAGCTTTCTATTACATGAAATTATTTTTATGAGATCTTAGGATATTCACGTCTCATGGAGCCTTTGCGCTTCGCTGTCAAGACTTCTGGTAGAATTCTACTGTAGATCCTGCAATAATCTGAAATGAGACAAATTTTAAAAAAAAATAATTGTTTTAACTGTTCAATACAATTAAATGTTAAATACACACTTTCGTTAATTGATTTTATAACCAACTTGATTATAGTATTTTTCCAGCAAATTTGTAAGAAATAAGTGCGCTAAAGAAGCTTGTGTCACAATACACAATCTCATACGAAATTTATAGAAAACTGTCGTTTTTGACAGTTCGAAAAAATGTTTTAAATTTGGCTAGTGGGCAAGTACCTAATTCTATTTCTTTGTTAAACATAAGAGGGAACATAGATTTCAGTGTATGCTGCTCCTATTAAATAGCTCCGTAACTAATAACATTACTTTAGTGACTCGTAGTACTAACGAATGTATAATGTTTAACTTTGTAATTACATAAGAATTAATTTCTATAATCATATTCATGTAATACTTTAGTTAACTCATCTTCATTATTTACAAATTGGCCTATGCACTTCTATAATCCTGGAAACTCAATCTATTTTATTAATTTAGTCCGCGCTGAGTGCAAGATTTTGTAAAAAAAATACAGTTATATTATCTATTACTTAAATTCGGACTTAGGGCCGATTGTTCCAACGTCAGATAAATTTTAACTGAGAAATTACTTTAATTATTTGACAATAATTCTTCCATACTGAAAACTGTCCAATGTGAATTTTATTGTACAGTTAAGAATTAGCTGATAATTGAAAAATCGGCTCTTAGAGGAAGAACTGTGCGGTTGTTGTGCCGTGCGTTCAATCTAGTATTTGATAAAGTATTGAAATTAGAATTTTTAGATATTATGTTCTTAAATAAACCTAGGAGATACATTTAAGTCGCATAGAGATGTCAATATATAACCGTTCATTTAAGAAAATTTGTCGTTATATCATTTTGTTATTTTGAAAGGTAAAATTCCATAATATTTTTACATCTGATTTTTTGATAAAGTTTTATGCTGTAGTCAGGGACAACCCACAGATCTTATGTAGACTAGATACGGTATTAACTAAATCGCAAAGAATCGGCAAATCACTTGTCACATTTACACACTGGTGGCCATGAGCGGCGTCAAATGCTTACCATCAGGTGATCCGTCTGCTCGTTTGCCTATACTGTAAAAAAATATTTGATCATGAACTAGCAGATGTGACATCTGGCCTTTAATCTCAAAACCATTTAAATTAAATCGGAGACCCATTTATACAAGAAATACTGCGCTCATGTCATATCAAGTTAACAAAATATCTGTGGTACCAATATGTCTACCAATATTAATTTGTAATTAGCACCAAACATCGGAATTGATTGTATTTTGCAATAATTGTGTGTGTCTAGTTTGTAATTGTATTTTATGTGTAAATAAAATCAATTTATTACAATAATATAACTATTTTAAGTATATTCTCTTGTTTTTGTTATTTCCTTGTTTGATGATATAAATCTAATATTATTTTTATCAG